TTAAAAAATATAAAACTAGGGTGATTATAATGTTCACAACCACAAGGTTTTGAAAGGTTTTATTTTTCTAATCACATTTATCACTTAAAGAAGGCTTTGTATGGTGGCTTAAAACAAGCTCCAAGAGCTTGGTATGAAAAATTGAGTAAATTTCTACTTGATAATGATTTTTGTAGAGGTAAAGTTGATATTACATTGTTCATTAAAAGAAAACATGATCATACTTTACTTGTGCAAATTTATGTTGACGATGTTATTTTCGGTTCTACTAATGAGTTTCTTTCTGAAGATTTTTCTAAAACGAAGAAAAATGAATTTAAGATGTCTATGATGGGAGAACTCAACTATTTGTTTGGATTGCAAATAAAGCAAGAGAAAGAAGACAAATTCATCAATCAAGGAGAGTATTGCAAAGAGCTTCTCAAGCGATTTGAGATGGACAAGGAAAAACCAATAGACACTCTATAACACCTCGTAGATTTGAAACACATAATTATACTTAAATGAGGATTAAGGGGTAGGATTAGTGAAAATCCTGAGTTCTGGAACCAAATACGTAAAAAGGGTAACGATAATTTCACAAATATGTAACCCTAAATAGTAAAATGATAGTATAAGGTATCAAATGAGAAAAATAACTGTAGAAATGGTTTAAGAACGAAAAATTGAGTGGTTAGGCAAGTTTTTGAAATTTTGATGAATCATATTTTTATCGGATAAAAATACAACAATACAGTTGCACCGAAAATTGTGCCGAGTGAAATTTATGCTCTAGGTTTGAATATAAGTTGGAAAAGGTACTTATGACCAAGAAATATAATTGTTGATGAAATTTGATGAGCTTTAGGGTTTTTAGGGAAACGTGTCAACGATGCACATATCAGGCTAAAACAGTGAGTGCACCGAATTACCAAAAAATTCTGGATTCATGTATTAAGTATAATTAAAGGACTTTAGTGAATGTTAAATTTTGGATTTTGTGGATAGTACAGGAATTAATTGGATATTAGTGGTTTAAGTAGGTGATTTGAATTGAATGAGGTGTCAAGTGGGACCCACCCCACTTGAGTGACTTATGACACATGTAACACCCTATTCTAAGAGTCGTGGTGTTATCATTGCTTACACTTATGCGCTATTTAGGGAGCTTACTGGCAGCGGAATAAATTCCGTTTCGACTACTACTAAGTAGATGGTTACTTGAGTGTCTTATGGAGACGGTGACTTATGTTACATAGAGGCTTGATCTTAATCTAAGTCCTATAATTTGAAACTTTTAAGATTCCTTATGGAAACGTTCATTGCTTAGGTTCCTCTTCCACTCATCGTTATGTCTGAGTAAGAGTAAGGTTCCTTCCACTATACCAAATCATGATTTAGATGAAATTCTAAAACAACTAAGCGTAATCATAATAACCTCAAAGTAAAATGGTTAGGTACAGTCATCCAAAATAAGTACTACTACTCAAACCATAGAGCCCCATCCAAAAGATTACAATACCCCAACATCTCATCCAAAACAAAGAACATAGCATGCTCAAATAAATTTACACGAACTAAATTAATACAGTCATCCGACAAGGAATATAATGCATCTATCTTTACTTCCAGGCGTACTAGTCGCTTGCCATCCCTTACCCACATCTTCATTCTTGGCTTTTACCTGAAAGGGATTCCCCAAAGAGGGGTGAGATTGGGGGTCTAATGAAATGAAATCAAAGGGCAAAGCCCATATTCAGTAAACAATTATCCTTAGTTAGTCTTGAGCTAGAACGACCTTGAACCCACTCTAACTAAGATAAGTAATAACTTAAGCTCAATATGGTTTAAAGCCCAAACAATGTCATAGCCCAACCTACTTAAGAATATGAATAAGTCAAGACCAATTAAGAAAGGATTTAAGCTCAAAGCAATGCAAACCTATTTTAGTAATTGAATAAGACATGGCCCAAATAGTATACACACAAAGATCCAAGCCCACACCACTTATACCAAGCCTAAGCCCAATTACTAATGACCCAACCTCTAGCAACCTAATGGGCCGAAAACACCCACCAAAACCAACCCAAATCCAAAGACCAACCCTTGATGAGGTGTCATAACTTGATTGGAAAATTTGAATTAATCCCACCTCCCTCACATGTCAACCTCGGCCTTGACAAGAAGAAAAGGGGAAAGGAGTTGCTTTCTACACTCCCTAGGCGCTACATGGATGAAGTAGGAGATTGTGTAAGATACACTCCAACCCTAACCAATGCATGTGAATCCCTTTTAACCAAAAGCAACTCTCCTTTCCCATCCTACATTGGACGACGCAAACAAGAAGAAAGAAGGAGGATTGCTTCTTCCACACTCCAAGCCTTAACCATGCATGTGATTTCTTTTCTCCAAAAGCAACTCTCCTTTCTATACCCACCTTGGATGACGCAAACATGATGAGAAAAGGAAAATTGCTTCTTCCACACTCCAAGCCTTAACCATGCATGTGATTTCCTTTCTCCAAAAGCAACTCTCCTTTCCATACCCACCTTGGATGACGCAAACATGATGAGAAAAGGAAAATTGCTTCTTCCACACTCCAAGCCATGCATGACACATTCCAAAGACCAAGGTCTTCCCTTCTCCCTATGCACACTCTACACGGCCACCAAGGAAGGATCACATGATCAAATCTTCTCCTCTCCTCACACATTCGGCCGAACCTTCTACAAGGATGACAAAGAAGACCTATCACACACTCCACACTCAAGCACCATCACCCACCAATGCATGTGAGTAGTTTCCTTCACACTCACAAGTAATACTCAAGCACCTCTAACCTAATACCCCAAGGAAATGATGACTAGGCTTGAATAAAAGAACAAGAAAAGAGCTTCCTCCTCCCCCTAAGGTCGTGAAGCACTAAGCATCAAGACAAAGAATCCTTCTCCCTCACACCTTGGCTTCGGCCATCCCTTTCCCAAACAAACCAAGCAAGTAAAATACTCAAACACTTCTTCCTTCTCTACTCCTAAGCCTCGGCCATAGCAAGTTCAAGGACCTAGGATCATCTCAAAATTATTTTAAGCTCTCCAAACCCTCTTGTCTTCAACCACATAGGTAAGGTAAAGGCTTCACCTCATTTTGTTTGGTGTAGACTAAGGATCCCTAAGTTTCCACTCTCTTTGTGTAGCAAGAGACCAAGAGGTTGTTGGAAGCAACTCTCAACTCAAGGCTCCTTGAAGATCAAGTGTGAAGCATTAGATAAAGTTGTATTATCATCATTAAGGTAAGACCTCATCTCTTCAAGCTAGAAGAATGAACCCTAACCATTCTAAATGACTAGATCTTGGACTAATAAAGCCATGCATGCATCTATCATCCTAGAAATCATCTCCTATGTATACCATCTCTACATGGCCGAACTTAAATGATATGCATGCACTCTCCAAATCTTCAAAACATTGGCTAAACAACCTAAACCTAAAATGGCCGAATGTGAAGTATAGGGAAGTATAGTCTAAAGTTTGATTTAAGGATCAACCATTTTATATGAGCATTTAAGCCATGAACATGTTATCAAAAATGTCTTCTAGGTATACACCCCTAAATGGCCGAACCCTAACAAGCTTAGAAAAGAAATTTGTGAATGTTTTCTTAAGTATCATGATGTATGGTCGAAATGTATAGGACCTTATTACAAAAAAAAAAATGTATAGGACCTATGCATAAGAACAACTAGTGAAAATCATCTCCTAAGGCATTTCATCTAAAAGGGCCGAACCTATGTCAAGAGGAATATTAAGTTTAGATCTTTAATTTTAGAACTATGTACTAAGGATGGTTATGTTATTAGGCCGAACCAAAGGAACAAGAAAGGACCAGAACAACCTTGAACTCTTGGGAAGTGATAAGACAAGACTATTGTGTAAGTGATTTACGGTTGTTGTAGTGGTTTCCCTATGGTTGCCGCCCTTTTTTGTTAAAGTGTTGGTTTGACTGCAATCTGTTATGTGATACATTACAGTGATATGTTTGGTTGTTTGAAACTAATGTTTTGTTCATGCAAGTTGTATTATGATGGCATGTGCACTAATACCACAGAGGCAACCTGACGAGGACCCTGGGTATTCGTCCGTAAGACCATGGAGAGTAATTGCCATGGCAGGATTGGTATGATGAAATGAAAGCATGATTATTTTCCAAACTATGTTTCAATGTTTCTGCCATTCTATTATTGTATATGTTATTATATGACAGTTGAAGGAGTAAGCATCATGGTTTGGAGGTTGCTCCAACTGTGAGTCCTTACTGAGACCCCCAATCTCACCCCTCTTGGGGAATCCCTTTCAGGTAAAAGCCAAGAATGAAGATGTGGGTAAGGGATGGCAAGCGACTAGTACGCCTGGAAGTAAAGAAAGATGCATTACGTTTATTGTCGGATGACTGTACTAAATTAGTTCGTAACAAGTTATATGTGCACGCTATGTATTTCATTTTGGATGAGATGTTAGGATATTATGAGCTTTTGGATGGATCTCTAGACATTGAGTAGTAGTAGTTATTTTGGATGACTGTACCTAACTATTTTATTTTGAGGTTATTATGATTACGCTTAGTTGTTTTTAGAATTTCATCTAAATCATGATTTGGTATAGTGTAAGGAACCTTACTCTTACTCAGGCATAACGATGAGTGGAAGAGGAACCTAAGCAAGGAAAGTTTCCATAAGGAATCTTAAATGTTTCAAATTATAGGACTTAGATTAAGATCAAGCCTCTATGTAACATAAGTCACCGTCTCCATAAGACACTTAAGTAACCATCTACTTAGTAGTAATCGAAATGGATTTTATTCCCCTGCCAGTAAGCTCCCTAAATAGCGCATAAGTGTAAGCAATGATAACACCGCGACTCTTAGAATAGGGTGTTACATTTAATGGTATCAGAGCAGTTTCTGATCTTTAGGATATGAATTATTCTTTAACTCTTTGTTGTACCCTGTAACACCTGTGCAGCACTATGCCACCGCGTAGACCACCTACCCGCAACAATACTCAAGGCCCCGAGGACATGCAAGGCCAAATCAATACCTTGAGGGATACCATCACAGAGATGCAGAAAAACGCGGGGGAGATGTTTCTGAATATTCTGAACGAAATAAGACGCAACCCTCACAACGCAACCCATAACAACACTGCAAGCGGCTCAGGCACCGGAGGAGCTGGTGTTGTTCCCCAACCACTCCCGAACCATGAAGCGGTGGGCCGGAATAATCAAGATCTACTATTGACATTTAGGAAGCACAAACCACCCTCCTTTCGAGGAGGACATGACCCGATCGTGGCTGTACAGTGGCTGCAGGCCATGGACAAAATATTCAGAGTGGTCCAATGCACCGATGATCAAAAAGTGCTATTCTCGGTGTACATGTTGGAAGGAGACGCCCATCATTGGTGGGCTAATGCGTCTCAACCTTTGGAGATGCAAAATGCGGCAATTACTTGGGCTGTATTTGAAGAAATGTTCTTAGAGAAGTACTTCTCGATGTCAATCCGGGACAGCAAGCAAGGCGAATTTGACCGACTCGTGCAAGGGACCATGACGGTAGACCAATATCACGCCAAATTCAACGAACTACTCCGATTGGCGACTTACCGAGGAACCATGCCCATGCCGAATTTTATGACGGCAAAATTTCAAAGAGGTCTATCCGCTAGGATTGCGAAATTAGTAGCTGACAACGACACCTGTGACCTGGCCACCTTAGTAAACAGATGTAGAAAGGTGGAGGCAGTCGGTTTACAAACAAGAAAACCCGCGGAGGCCAGCGGATCCGGACACAGAACTCCGATGGCTAGAAACAGACCATGGAGAGGGAAGAACGAAGGCAGATCGTGGCAACCCAAGCGTGATGATAACAAGTTCAAGAGGCCCGGGAATCCCTGAGGAAATGGCAACAGGGCTCCCAATTGCCCCAAATGTAGAAAGGCACATTTCGGAAATTGTTTGAGCGATCGATGAAATGCTTCAAGTGCGGCCAAGATGGACACTTCATCAAAGATTGTCCGCAATGGAATGAACAACAACCAGCAGCGAAGGCACCAAGGATGGGCAGAGTCTACATCTAGACCAACATGTGGCGGACCAGGCGGCCGAACAAGTTAAAGGTACGATTAATATATGTGGTGAGGAACTATCTGTGTTATTTGACTCTGGAGCAACCAATTCCTTCATTGCCGACTATGTGGCAAAAGCCTTTAACTTAACCATAAGCCCAATGCAATCCCCAATGCAAGTTACCTCTGCGACGGGGGAAGCGACAATGTCTCACTTCGCATGTAAAAATGTAGAATTCAGATATAAAGGAAAGAAGTACAACCAAGACTTCATAATCCTCCCCTTAGCCAAACTGAACCTGATATTGGGAATGGATTGGCTGGCCAAACAACACGTAGTAATTGATTGTAGCAGCCGAAGTATAATAGTCAGCAGGGACATGATGGAGACCCCACTCCCCAATACTCCACCGGTCGAATTAGGAGATTGCACTTTCATGCTAATAGCTGGTCTAGTAGGTGCGAGCGAGACACCGTTGATGAACATTCCCGTGGTCAAAGAATTCGAGGATGTATTTCCTGACGACATTACCACATTTCCCCCTGAAAGGGAAGTGGAGTTTTCTATTGAACTTATTCTCGGGACTGGACCAATCTCAATTGCACCCTACCGTATGTCTCCCCTTGAATTGGTAGAATTGAAGAAGCAGCTAGAAGACCTGCTAGGGAAGAATTTCATCTGACCCAGTGTATCCCCGTGGGGAGCACCAGTTCTATTTGTAAAGAAGAAGGACAGATCTATGAGACTTTGCACGGACTATCGGCAACTCAACAAGGTGACTGTCAAGAATAGGTACCCCTTGCCTCGTGCCTTGAACTTGTTATCATGATTTACGCCTAATGGGAATTCATCGTTCTTCATTCCCCTAACTTATCTATTCCTCTAGTCATGAGTTTCTCTTTTTCTTGAGACGCCTGTCTACGGTCTACTTATAAATTCCGCGAATCCTCACTTTGGTTACCCTACTTATACTTATGGGCATGGTGCCTCGATAAGTAGGAGCTCACTTACATGATCATAATCTAATAGAGTGTTGACTACTACCCAGTGGGTAGTTACTTAAGTGTCTTATGCGGATAATGGCTTATGTTACTTTGCCTCCCCACCAATCTGGGAATCTCCTACTAAATTCATAAGTCCACTCTGAAAATTTTGTCATAAACATTCCAAAATGGTTTGTACTTCCTAAAGGTTCGGCATTATTTTCAGCCGCTCATGGTTCAAAATAATCTCCTGTTGTGCCAAGTGGCATATGGTCTATTACAGTCATCCCAAATTAGAATCTAGCACATTTCCCTTAGGAAGGTGCCCTTAAAGTGTCATTTAACCTTGCATGTGCCTCAGGACTAGGGAGAGAATATTCAAGTAGGGGGTCTCGTGGTGGCATAGTGCTGCACATATGTCACAGGGTAGTAACAGAGGGGTTGATAGTTTCTATTCAAAGATCAGAAAATGTACTAATACCAATAAAAATGTGACACCTATTTTTACTCACTGTTGTTGACATTTGCTTGTACTTATATGTTACTTCGGGAGCTTTAATCACAGCAATAGAATTTTTCGTCTTTGACTACTACTAATTACAATGGTACTTTAAGTGTCTTATGCAGTAGTGACTTATAAAGGCTTGGTCTTAATCTAAGTCATATAATTTGAAACCTTTAAGATTTCTTATGAAAACGTTTCTTGCATAGGTTTCTCTTTTCAATTATTGTTACGTCCATTATAAGGGTAAGGTTTCTAGCACTAAATTCCAATCATATTAGCTAAAATTATAAGACGTCTAAACCTTGATCAGTGATAACCTCATGATAGTTAGGTACATGCAATAAGTACTACTACTCAATGTCTCGATCAAAAAGAATGGAAAAACATTGGAAACATAGTTTGGAAAATAATTGTTACGAACTAATTTAGTACATATCCGACAATAAACATCCGTCTTTCTCTTCCAGGCGTATACGCCTTGCCATGGGCAATTTGAGATTCTTGGCTCCCATGGGGATGTTTTAGAAGTATAGGGCACGGACCCTGAAAACCAGGTGTACTCCTCCAAACTGTCGTGAATGCCTCAAATAATAGAATGGAGAACATTTGAAACATAGTTTGGAAAATATTCAGGCCATTTTGTCGTTGCAAAACTTGCATGGCAATTATAGCATAAACATCCTCGTCAGGTTGCCTCTGTGGTATTAGTCACAACCATACAATAATGCATCAATGAACAAACATTAGTTCCAAACAGCCGAAATTTCATGTACATTTACACAAAATGGGGTGGCAACTTTTCAAAGGGTTGGCAAATTCAACAAACTCACTTTTACAACAACCGTAAATCACTTACTCAATAGTCTTGTCTTATGGCTACCCAAGAGTTCAAGGTGGTTCTGATACATTTCTTGTTCCTTTGGTTCGGCCTAATAACATAACCATCCTTAGTACATAGTTCTAAAATTAAAGATCTAGAACTTAATATTCCTCTTGACATAGGTTCAACTGCCCTTTGATGAAATGCCTTAGGAGATGATTTTCACTAGTTGTTCTCAATCATAAGTCCTATACATTTCGGCCATATACATCGATACTTAAGAAAACATTCACAAATTTCTTTTCTAAGCTTGTTGGGTTCGACCATTTTTGGGTAGTACCTCAGAGGACATTTTTGATAACATGTTCATGGCTTAAATGCTCATATAAAATGGTTGTTCATTAAATCAAACTTTTAGACTATACTTTTAGGCCCTGTCATCAAATTCGGCGATTTTAGGTTTTAGGTTGTTTAGGCCGATGTTTTGAAGATTTGGAGAGTGCATGCATATCATTTAAGTTCGGCCATGTAGAGATGGTATACATAGGAGATGATTTACTAGGATGATAGATGCATGGCTTTTGTAGTTCCGAAGATCTAGTCATGTGAGTGGTTAGGTTGAATTCTACTAGCTTGAAGAGATGAGGTCTTACCTTAATGATGATGATCAACTTTATCTAACAGCTTCACACTTGATCTTCAAGGAGCCTTGTGGGTTGAGAGTTGCTTTCCAACAACCTCTTGGGTTTCTTGCTACACAAAAGAGAGTGGAAACTTAGGGATCCTTAGTCTACACCAAACGGAAAATGAGGTGAAGCCTTTACCTTACCTATGTGTGTGAAGACAAGAGGGTTTGGAGAGCTTAGAATTATTTTGAGATGATCCTAGGTCCTTGAACTTGCTATGGCCGAGGCTTAGGAGTAGAGAAGGGTGAAGTGTTTGAGTATTTTACTTGCTTGGTTTGTTTGGGAAAGGGATGGCCGAAGCCAAGGGTGTGAGGGAGAAGGATTCTTTGTCTTGATGCTTAGTGCTTCACGGCCTTAGGGGTAGGAGGAAGCTCTTTGCTTGTTCTTTTATTAAATACCTAGCACATCATCATTTCCTTGGGGTATTAGGTTAGAGGTGCTTGAGTGTTACTTGAGAGTGTGGAGGAAGTTATTCACATGCATGGGTGGTGAGTGGTGATGCTGAGTGTGCAGACATCTTTCCTTGTCTTTGTTGATGGAATGGCCGAACATGCAAAGGGAGAAGAGATGGTTGTTCTTTGTGACCTTTGCATGTATTACACTTGGCATTTGTTTGGTCTTGGTGAGAGGTTTGAGTGGGAGAAAAGCAATACCTCTTGCCTTAGTTGATGGCCGTGACATAGGGGGAAAGAGGGAAGATATTTTCCTAATTTTTTATTCAAGTCTATCCATGATGAAAGCTCATAATTCAAGGAGGGTTGAGTGTGAATTTGAACTAGGGTTTCCTTGCTTCCTTTGTTGTTTGGCCAAGGTTAGAGGAAGTGAAGAGTTTGGTCATGTGACTCCTGGTAAGGGATGTACCTAGGGAGAAGAAAAGGTGGCTTCACCTTTTTAATCATGCATTGGGGAGGACTTGTCACCTAGGAAGAGGGAAAGTGAGCCTACTTTTATGAAGGGAATCTTGGTTTATGTTCCCTTGATGTGTTACCTTGGGAGATGGAAAGACTTGTGTCATGCATGGTTTGAGTGTGTAAGAAGGAAGCTTTCCTTTTCTTGTCATGTGTGGCCTCCAAGGTAGCTTAAGGGAAAGTAATGTTGCTTTTGGTTAAAGTAAGTCACATGCATTGGTTAGGTTTGGAGTATTTCTTACACAAACTCATCATCACTTTTCCTCCTTATTTAGCGCCTAGGGGAATGTGAACACAACTTCAGCTTCCTTCTCCTTTGTTGATGGCCGAAGTTATCATGTGGGGAGGTGTAACTTCATACAAATTCTTCACCTGTTCTCGTGTGTCCACCTCATCTAGGGCTTCTCTTTGAATTGGATTGGGCATAGTCATATTTGGACCCTAGTGTTGATGGAGAGGTTTGATCATTAGTAAATGGGCTTGGGCACTCTTTGAGTGGTGTGGGCTTGGGTCTTTATGTACTTACTAATTGGGCTATTCCTTATTCAATTCATAAAATGGGCTTGCATACTAGGGCTTATATCCTTTTTCTCACTTGATCTTAACTTATTTATATTCTTAAGTGGGTTGGGCTATGACATTGTTTGGGTTTTAAACGGCATTTGGGTTAAGTTACTACTTCTTTGTTTGAATGGATTATAGCTCAGGACTAATGTTGCTTATTCAAAGCTACTCGTTCACTGAATATGGACTTGATCCCTTTTCATTTGGTTTTTCATAGGCTAATTTCGGTACAAGATTTTTGGGTTATTACCGGCAGTATTCATGAGCCCATGAACCAGATCTACAACCTTACTTGGATCGATTCGTGGTCGTATTCATCAATAGTTGGTGCTCGTAGCAAATG